ATTAGCTTAAAATGTTTCAAGGCATTCATATTTAAGTTACCAGTTGGTAGGCTCTGTTGTCATTATCGCAGTTTATTTCTGTTTTTTTGTACCCTTTGTGGATCCGGTTTGGGAGGAGCCAGCTTTCTTGGGCCCGCTCTGGGCAGCCCTCGTCTTAGCTGTTTCTTTATCTCGCTCTTTTTTCTTTTGTGTTTTCGCTCCAGGTGTCGCTTCCTTCCCCGGCTTCGGTTTACTCTTTTTCTCTACCTTTTCTTGCTCAACTTGAGAAGAACCAGCTTCCTTGTCTTTTTCGAGATTTTCACCTTTTCCTTGTGATTTTCCTTTCTTTTTGTCATGTTGCTCGTCACGTCTGACTTCTTCTTGGTTCTTCTTCTCTTGCCCCTCCCTCTCCTCTTGCTCTTTCATGGCTTCCTCTGCGTTTTCGTCTGGTTGTTCGTCATTAGTTGTTACTTTGTTTACGTCTTCGCCTGGCAGTGATCCCCTTGGTGACTTTCTGGATCCGGTTTGGGAGGAGCCAACTTTCTCGACACCACGCGGTTGGGGGGTCGTCTTTATAGCTGCTATCTTAATTTCTAATTTCTTCTGGTTTCCCTCCACCGTTGGCAGTGGTCTCGATCCCTGTGATGGACAATCTTTAGAATCACGTTTTTCCTCGGCAGTCGTGACCCCGCTCTGGACAGCCCTCCTGCTAGCTGTTTCTTCATCTTCCTCTTTTTGCTTTTGTGTTTTCGCCTCAGGCGTCTTCTCTACCAGTTTCTCAGGCACCGTTTCGGCCAGTTTTGGCAACGGTCTCGGTTTACCCTCGTTCTCTGTCTTTCCTTGTTCAGCTTGAGGAGGACCAGCTTCGTCGTTCTCTTTGATATTTCCTGCTTTTTTTCCTTTAGATTTTCCTCGTTCGCTATCATGTTGCTCTTCATGTTTGAATTCCTCTTGGCTGTTCTTCTCTGGCTCTTCCTTCTCCTTTTCCTGTTCCATGGCTTCTTCAGATGTTTCTTCTTGTCGTTCATTGTTGATTGTTAAGTTCTTCAGATCTTCGCTTGGCGGTGATCCCTCTGGTGACTTTTTCCCAATACCGGAACTTTTGTCGGGAGATCTTTCCTCTGTGTTCATTTTCCGTTTCTTGTTACCTACACTGCTTTCTTCATCGTTTGGCTTATTTTGATTTGCAGGTTGCAAATGATTGCCGCGGTTCCCTCGCTTTCTCTCGCTTGGAGCGGATTTGGGCTTTAAATACGTTACAGATGGCCTTTTCTCTCCTTCTTTCACTTCCATCTTCAGCTCCTTGATTGCGATCTTATTCTCGTCATCCTTTTCAGCGCCCTTCTTTCTTTCCTCCGTCACTTCCTTTTTCCCAGACAACGTACTTTTCTTTTGAAGTATCGTAAACTTTCCTGGCAGTACATCCATGTGTTTCCCTTGATCATCGATCTCAAACAGGAAGCAGCCGACATTCACGTTGTAACTGTGCTCGGAAGACCGGATGTTAGCAATGAAGATCACGAACCTTTTCAAGTTGTAGGTCGGCATGTTATTCCAAACAGTGTTCTCGTCTCCTCCGCTTGGCCTCGCCAAACCGAGCTGATGGTGGGAATGCCACTCGCCAATGTGACACACACCTTCATTTTGCGTCAAGTACGAACCAACACGGCGCAAGTAATCGATGTCTTGGTAGAAAGAGGTTGTGGTTCTTGTGCATTGTTTGCCAGGACCGAGTACCAGCTGAATAACAGCAGTGTGCTTGTCAGCCCACAAACCAAACAGATCTCCTCCAGTTTCGATGTTCGGTTTCTTCAGCACCCAGGCGCAGAGCTCTTTGTAATCTTCTTCGTAAATCATAACGTTAAAGCTCCTTTTTTCGCCCCCGCTCCACAACCAAGACATGGTTTCTGAAATGCTTAACAATGAAGCAAATTCTTAAGAAACGGTGTGAATTGTCGAGCCTGGTCGATATTAAAAGCAAAAACTTGTATTTTGCGGAAGCTGGCTTTTCTCGGAAAACCGTGTTGTGACCGCACGCAACCCCTAGTGGACAATGACCTTTTTCGTTTTCGACGGTCTGGGGGGAAAATAACATGTACGACAGACCGTTGTCAGCGAAATTATAAATTTACGATAGATATTTTTCTTTTTGTTATTCAGCTTTTCTCTAAGAAGGACGGCAGATTTCGATGGTTTCGGGAACCTTGCTTTCAGTTTCGGGGTGCCCTGACAGCTGTCATGTCGATCAATCAGTTTGCTTTTTTCTCTTTTCCGAGAATAAACGGATATCTTTTAAATTTAAGCTGAATAAATTTAGCGTGACTCGCAGAAAGGTGACATAAATCCCAGTATTCTTTCTATTCACTAAACCTGCTTGAAGGGTTACTGAATTGTCAAGCTATTGTGGGTCCCCCGGCTAATAAACATGTTCCTATTTCGTCAGGCACCAATTCTTAGACCTCGCGAATTAGCAGAATTAACAGAGATATTTCAAATTGATGACGAAACTGACGGGCTGGATAATTTATACAAGCTTAGCGTTTCGGTTGAAGAAGTTTTAAACATCACCGTCCACATTGCAACTTATCTGAATAGTCCTGACAAAGTGCCTGAGAAAATACCTTGTGGCTATTCAGAGGGCACAGCATTAGTGTCA